CCAGTCATAAAAACAGCCAAGGTTGCCTATCCCTGGACTAGGCAGTGGGGGTTTGGGGGGAGGAGGAGGACAACTGTGGGGTCCTTTTATGGTCTCTGAGCTTGGTTGCAGATGTTTCATTACCAAGTAGGTAACATCATCAGTTGTAGTAAGGAGCGGGGTTTGCCCTCAGTTTATATTGTACTAGTAAGGAGTGGAGCTTGCTCTCAGTTTATAACATACAGTTTATAATATAAACTGAGAGAAAACCCCAATGCTTACTAGCACTGATGATGTTACCTAGTTTGGGTTATGAAACGTCTGCAAGAAAGCAACCAAGCTCAGAGAGCACCAAGGACCCAGATCAGGGAGCTCTGGATTTGTAACAGTCCTCAGTTGCACGTCCAAAATGATTTGGTTAGATTGATTTCCCATTTTTGTTTCCAAGTTTGGAGGAGGTAGATAGGACCTTTCTTCCTCTTTTTTCCCCCCAAAACAGAAAATTATGTGGTGTGCTTGGGGTGAGAGAGAGAGGACTACCCCAAAGTCAAAGTCCCCCAATGAACTTGCAGGACCCTGGTGCCGGTGCAAACGCCACAGTCACTGCACCACACCTACAAGCTGCCTGCATTTTCCAGCTCCTTTTCTGCAGCAAAGGGATAATTCGGGTTGTGCTGCCAAAGTTTGATTGCAAAGTTGACGGAATTAAAAGCCGGATATTTTCAGACTTGCTTCTGGGTGATGATTCAAGGCTGCCCTGGGCTGCCCCCAGAGGTGTAAAAAAAATTAAAATGTTCCCTTAAGAAAAGGTTTATCTGTCCAATTCTAGACTGTTAAAAGAGCCAGGAATGGGTTTTTTAAAATGCACTAATTGGTTATACTGTAGATATAATAGTCCTAACTGACACTGAGGGAATAAATCAGGAGTGCGTATATAATGTACCAGATTTCTAGTGTGGTATCTGTTTATCACATTTATTTCATTTTGGGAAGAGCAACCTTACACACAGTGAAGGCAAGCAAAGACATTAAACATAAGGGGCAAAAGAATGATTGCTTCATCTATTGTCAATCTATATTACTGTTTTAATAGCTTAATGTTACTTCTAGTTTTTCTATTATACAGATAGTCCTCAACTTACAACCACAAATGAGCCCAAAGTTTCTGTTGCTAAGTGAAACATTTGTTAAGTGGATTTTGCCCCATTTTACGACCTTTCTTGCCACAGTTGTTAAGTGAATCACTGCAGTTAAGTTAGTAACACCATTGTTAAGTGAACCTGGCTTCCCCATTGACTTTGCTTGTCAGAAGGTCGCAAAAGAGGATCACGTGACCCCCGGGGACCCTGCGACCGTCATAAATGTGAGTCAGTTGCCAAGCATGCAAATTTTGATCACGTGACCACGGGGATGGTGCAGCGGTCGTAAGTGTGAAAAAAGGTCATAAGTCAGTTTCTTCAGTGGCACTGTAACTATGACTATCACTAAATGAACTGTTGTAAGTCGAAGTCTACTTGTATTGTAAGCTACCCAGAGTTGCTGTATCGGTGAGATGCCAGACATTTAATAAACATTGAATAAATAAATTATTCCTCTCCACTCCTTTCTTTCCTTCCAAACTATCCCTTCTTCTCTCACTAATTCATACAATGTTTTATTTTTTAAACTTTTCCATGTTCTTAAATCTAATAAATGTTATGCAAGCATGACTTTACTCCACTTTTTCTTCTTTTGAATTTATTCATTGAGTTGATTGACTCCAAGGCAGCAGGGCTTCTGAAGCAGATTGCAGAACCTGGGCAGATTAATATTAGTGTGGGCCGCAGTTCAAATTTAGCCCCCAAATTCTTTGTGACCTGCAGTTTTAAACTAAGGCCGAAAAGGGAAACAATGCAGAATTGATATGACTCTGCTGCAAAACTGGTGTAAAATGACTCTTCAGACTTAAGCGGTTAAATTTTAGGGAGTCAATTTCTATGCTAAACCTCAAATTGTATCAATCACTAACAGGAAATCCTTTTAAATTAAGCACTGTTAAAGACAATTCCAGCTTTGTAATCATAAGGTAGCACTGCACTAAACAAATATACATACATTATTAGATTGCAACCCCCTTGACATTATTTTGAAATTAGTAAAATATCTGCAATTCTGTTGATAACAACACAGGGGCACACAGAGGCATGACTGTAATACCTGTTTGCAACTCTTGAAAGCAACTGTATCGGTTGCTCTCTGATCCTGGAAAAAAGCACAGCGGCTTTCATAAGTTGTACATAAGTATGCATTCACATTTCTATTGCATTTCACTAAAATGAAATCCAAAGCACTTAGGAATTGAAAAAGATTGGTATGAGAAGAAGGACTTGCTGATAACTCCAGCTAAACCTGTTTTTCAGATTCCCAAATGCCAAACCAGCTTCCCTTCTTTGAAGTCTGTTCAAAGCTACCTTTATTTGTTGTATCCCCAGACAATTAAACTGAAGCCACTGAAATCTAAACCAGTCTTTCCTACTTATCCTTCCTGGGATCTGTTTTTAAGATTTCATACACATCGGATACTCTTGAGAATTGTTAAAACTCACAGCCACTTACAAGCTTACCAATATAATACAGCTAATAGTGGACATTAATATTAGACACATTAAGTGAAATATATTAATATGAAATGGCTAGATGTCATCTGGATCTCAAAGGCCCAGGCAGTGACTCCAGTTTTGCTTACCCATACAACATGGGTAAATAATAATAATAATAATAAATAATAAATAATAATAATAATAATAATAATACATCTGCCTATCCCAGGTCCTGGGAAAGGACTCGATAGGTAGACAAAATGCCAAATCCAGTCTGAACATCTGGCTGACTGTGATGATCCATAATAATAATAATGATGATGATGATGATGATGATGGTAACAATACTGCAGCCACAATACATGGGTAAATATACATAATAAAACTGCAGCCATATTACATACATAGACATTAGACAGCACTGTGAGAATTAAGTGAATTAAGACGAATCGTGAATTAAGATGGATGACGTATAAATTTAATAAAGAAATATCTGAAATATTGGAAGGAGCTCATCGTAAGTCCCAAGACAACATTTCCCACCCCCCCGATCCCAGCTTTTCCTGCAAAGAAGTCTTTTTTTATTGCAAGAACCAATCTTTTTAGTCTTTTTGCTTCCTTCTTCAGCCGCCATTACCTGGGGAAACCTTCCAGAGGTTTACTCAGAAGTAAGGGTCTCGAAGGGGAAGGGGAAAAAAAACACACCACACAAACACACACACACCCATAAAACCCCGGAGTCTCCTTCGGAAGGTCCCAAGGCCGGCCAACCTCTCCGTCCTTCGGGGAAGCAAGCGAAGCAAGCCCGGGCCTCAGACCTCCCCTCAGAAGATGCGGCCTACTCCACCCGCCGGCGCCTCCCGGCCTCCCCGCGGGCCCGAGCGAGGAAAGGCCCCATCCGGCTGGGCCGGCCGCCAGGAGGGCGGGCCTGCTCGCTCCCCGCCTGCGTGGAAGAAGGAAGGGCGGCCGCGGGGAAGAGAGGAGCGCCGAGCGGCGGCCTCTCCTCTCCTCTCCTCCTGGCCTGTTCTTCCCCGGCCGGCCGAGGAGCGGCACTGTCTCCCCGCGGCCAGGCCCCGCGCCAGGCGCACACGCTCGGCCCAGCCGTCCCCGACAGCCGCCGGGCCTGACTGACTGAGGCGGCAACAGCGCGGGGGGGAAGCAGGCCGGGCATCGTGGCAGCACCAGAAGCGCCGGAGATTCCCCCTGACCATCGCCGCCTTCCGCCACCGCCTGCTCGATGCTGCACCTCCCGGAGCTGCATGAGGTAAAAAGGCGGGCCGGGCGCGGGGCTCCGTCTGGCGGCGGCTTCTCTCGCTCGCCGGTGCGGGCAGAGGCGACATCTTGGCCGGAGCCGGGCGTCGCCTGAGGGAAATCCTGAGGTAAAAGTTGCGGAGGGAGCGGGCCGAGGGGCCGCAGAGTGGCCGAGGGGGCGCCTCCGGCCCTGTGAGGGGACCCTTCCCCCCCTTCAATCCGGTGTTGTGGCTCGTTTTGCGGCCTAGCCTCTAGGCCTCGCCTGGCCGCTCGCTTGCGGGAGGCGCCTCCCGGCGGCGGGACTCTTCCCTCGGAGCCCTCCGCGGGCCGGGGGACTCCTTCTTCCCCTCCGCTCCGCCCGAGGCAGGCCCTCCTGGTGGAAGCGACGCCCGGAGGGGCTCGGCGCGGGGGTGGGGGGGGGGAGAAGGAAGACGCTGCCCGGCGGGGCTCGGCTCGGCCCGGCCCGGCCGCGGGGAGGGTGAAGGCGGGCGGCGGGCCCGGGACGGGGTCGTCGTCGGGGACCGGTGTGGGGCCTTGTTTCCACTCGAGGCTTCGAAATGGGGGGAGGAAGAAAAACGGCTGAGGAAAAAAAAGTCTGAACTTTTGTTTTGCCACCGGCAGAGGCCGGTAGAAGCCTGCGGAGAAGGAAACTTTCTCGGCGGCAGCGCCAGGATGGACTTCCCGTCCGCCCCAGCCAAGCCTCCCCCGGACGGCAAGATCATCTTCTACCCGCCTGGAGTGAAGGAGATCACGGATAAGATCACCAACGACGAAGTGGTCAAACGCTTGAAGGTAGGCCGGGCCCCTCGGCCTTGGGTTCCCTCCCCTCTTGGGTTGGCCTGGCTTCCCCTAGAGTTGCGCCGGGCTGGGAGTTCTAGTTCGGCTGAGGCGTGGAAAGGGGCTTGGGGGACTTGGGGCCAGGAGACAGTGAGTTCTAGCGCCGCCTTAGGCAAGAAAAATCCGGCTGGGTGGCTGGGCCAATTGCCAGGCGACTGAGTTCTAGCGCCGCATGAGGCATGAAAGCTGGCTGGGTGATTTTGGGCCAATCGCCAGGCGACTGAGTTCTAGTGCCGCCTTAGGCATGAAAGCTGGCTGGGTGGCTGGGCCAATCACCAGGCGACTGAGTCCTAGTGCCGCCTTAGGCATAAAAGCCGACAGTGACTGGGCCAATCACCTGGTGACTGAGTCCTAGTGCCGCCTTAGGCATGAAAGATGGCTAGGTGGCTGGGCCAATTGCCAGGCGACTGAGTTCTAGTGCTGCATTAGACAAGAAATCCGGCTGGGTGGCCGGGCCAATCACCAGGTGACTGAATTCTAGTGCCGCCTTAGATATGAAAGCCGGCTGGGTGATTTTGGGCCAATCACCAGGGGACTGAGTCTTAGTGCCGCCTTAGGCATAAAAGCCAATAGGGTGACTGGGCCAATCACCTGGTGACTTGAGTTCTAGTGCCGCCTTAGGCATGAAAGATGGCTAGGTGGCTGGGCCAATCACCAGGTGACTGAGTTCTAGTGCTGCATTAGGCATGAAAGCTAGCTGGGTTGATTTTGGGCCAACCGCCAGGCGACTGAGTTCTAGTGCCGCCTTAGGCATGAAAGCCGGCTGGGTGACTTTGAGCCAATCGCCAGGTGACTGAGTTCTAGTGCTGCCTTAGGCATGAAGGCTGGGTGATTTTGAGCCAATCACCAGGCGACTGAGTCCTAGTGCCGCCTTAGGCATAAAAGCCGACAAGGTGACTGGGCCAATCACCAGGTGACTGAGTTCTAGTGCCGCCTTAGGCATAAAAGGTGGCTGGGCCAATCACCAGGTGACTGAGTTCTAGTGCTGCCTTAGGCATGAAAGATGGCTGGGTGACTGGGCCAATCCCCAGAAGCTGATGAGTTCTAATCCCACCTTAGACAAGAAATCTGGCTGGGTGGCCGGGCCAATCACCAGGTGACTGAGTTCTAGTACCACAGGCATGAATGCCGGCTGAGTGACTTTGAGCCAATCAGTAGGTGACTGAATTCTAGTGCCGCCTTAGGCATGAAAGCTAGCTGGGTGACTTTGAGCCAATCACTAGGTGACTGAGTTCTAGTGCCGCCTTAGGTATGAAAGCCGGCTGGGTGACTTTGAGGGCCAATCATACACTCTGTTTGAATTTGCCTTAGGGTGATTGCAGCCACTGTTGCTTGTAAGCCATTTCTTAATATGTAAACTATTTATTTAGTTCAATGTGGCAGTTAAGGTGCTATGCTGGAAACCAGGGAACTGTGAGTTTTAACCCCACCCTAGGCATGAAAGCCAGCTGGGTGACTGGGCTAATCACCAGGTGGCTGTGAGTTCTAGTCCCACCTTAGCCATGAAAGCCAGCTTTGGACCAGTCACTTTCTCCCAACCCAACTCATCTCATGGAGTTGTTGTGGGGAAAATAGGAGGCGGAAAGTGTGTCGAATATGTTTGCCGCCTTGAGTCATTTATAAAAGTAATAAATGTAGGATACAAATAAATATTCCAACGTGCAGCAGGGACTGGTCATTGTGTTTGACGAACTGGCTTGTACAAATTTAAGAGAACTCACTCTTAAATTTGTACAAGCCAGTTCGTTCTCTAGTATCATTTTGATTCTCAAAACCCATTTTTGTGTGTTATTTTATGGGGCTCCTTAGCAGTCTGGATTTCAACGACAAAATGTTTCCAACAGGCACCAAGTCTGCTCTGCCCACCTTAAACCTGCCTTTTTATGAAATTGCACAACAGCTGCAAAAGGCAACTGTGCAACACTACATATAAATAACATGCTTAGGTCTAATAATGCTTATTAGAAAGTAAATAACTGATGATAGAAACATTCTACTGCCGTACTTAAGGCTGACAAATTCCTGTCCTCAAATATTCATGAATTTCCAGGAATGGTGGAATGGTTAAGGATATTAAGCTTATTGTTCCTTGTTTGTTTTTTTGTTGGTTTTTTTTTGCCAAAAGGAGAAATGTGTTTTTCTCTTCTATAGGAATTAGCTTGATCTGAGCACTGGAGGGGGTAGGAAGTGAATGTGAGAGACAGAGATAGAAGAAAGGAAGTGGAGTTGAAGTCATTTACTCCAAAGTGGCAGGGAAGAACTCGGATAATTTACCCAGAGTAGTATATAACACAGCAGCTTCGTGGAATGTACTCTGAAACGCAAATTGCTCTGCAAGCGGTGAGCGGTTGGATTCGCACTGCGTACTGGAACCACAAATTAGACAGACTTTTAGCCCTAGTCCAGCGGTTCTCAACCTGTGAGTCGGGACCCCATTTGGGGTCAATCGACCATTTCACGGGGGTTGCCAAGCAAGGCTGTCCGCCATTTTTTTGTCCGCCATTTTTTTTTGTCCGCCATTTTTTTCCCCCTTTTCCGGAGGGTGCCTTACCTCCCTTGGGCTGGGCCAGCTGGTAGTCGGCCTGCTCCGTCTCTGCCGCTTGCCAGCTACGCCTCGGCCGGCGCAGGGGGCAGAACCACACATGCGCGGCGCTCCCGGGCAGGGAAAGTCCTCGACTTACAACCGGTTGGGTAGTCCTGGACTTACGACCGGTTTAGTCCTCGACTTACGACCGGTTGGGGTCGCGGCATTAAAAAGGTTGAGAACCACTGCCCTAGTCTGTAATGCAAAACGGGATTCGTTTTGGGTTCAGCGTGACATGCCGTCAAAAGGAGCTTTGTCATTTGATCCTTTTTTTTTTAATATGTAGGTTAGGGCTGAGATGAAATGGCTATCCCATCTGCTCTGCCCATATGGAGGTGACAATTTTGATTAGAAACCGCTGAAAAAAATGGTGTTTTGTTTTCAGAAAAAGAAGCTGTTGCCATATAGGGCATTTTTTTTTCTTAAAACACTAAAGAAAAAAAAAAAGGACAGTGGGACTGGAAGCTTACATTCTCAATTTCTTTTTCAAATCATGTCCTCTCTTTCAGAAGGAACAGTTTGGAAGAGTCGGCAGTTTTGTGGACATTTGTTACTTAACCAGAACAAACGTTTAACAGACTTGGTGGTGCAATGTGCGTTTATAGGAATAATGTTCCTGGATTATTATTAGGCTTTATGCAGCGTACGAGATGCCGAAATATACTACTTCAAGATCTTTGGCTGCCAGCTACATAGATCTTGTTGGAATTCACCAGGGGTTGATTGGTTTTGGATTAGTAAATTGTGTAAAACCGGTCATATTCTAAAATGCATTTTACTGATTGTTAAATGATAACCATTTGTAACTGATCTGAGCACATTAGATTAGTCCAGCGGTTCTCAATCTATGGGTCGCGACCCCATTTGGGGTCGATCGACCATTTCACGGGGGTCACCAAGCAAGGCTGTCCGCCATTTTTTTCCCCCTTTTCCGGCGGGTGCCTTACCTCTCTTGGGCTGGGCCAGCTGGTGGTCGGCCTGCTCCGTCTCTGCCGCTTGCCAGCTACGCCTCGGCCGGCACAGGGGGCGGAACCACGCATGCACTGCGCTCCCGGGCAGGGAAAGTCCTCGACTTACGACCGGTTGGGTAGTCCTCGACTTATGACCGGTTTAGTCCTCGACTTACGACCGGTTTAGTCCTCGACTTACGACCGGTTTAGTCCTCGACTTACGACCGGTTGGGGTCGCGGCATTAAAAAGGTTGAGAACCACTGGATTAGTCCAATGTGTAAACCTTGTTTCCATTAGCAGAGTACAATTTGTTTGGGAAATCAGTGGAACCCTTAGATATTAGTGCTTGATAGGCCTCAGGATGGTTTCTAGCTAGATAGGCATTTTTATTGTGATAAAATGAGCAGAGTGTGTGCTAAATCATAATATAGTTTCTTTGGGTTTTGCTCAGCATATTGTTTGAATGCAGGTATCTCTCTTTTGAATGATGGCCAAAGCAGGCTATTGATTGAACCCAGCCAACTCGATTGTTATATAACGTCGGAATTTTTTTCCTGGAGCTTTGAGTGGTATAATAAACAAGCCAACATGTTAGCTTGAAAATCTATATCACTTTCTTAACACATGGCATGGCAATCCCCGAATTTCATTTGCCGAAATTAAAGTTTCATTAGGAATGATGTCCAGGGTATCCTGTTTTAGCGAACGAGGGTAGATCATTGGTTGAGGAGGAATTTAGTTATCTCTGTTTTGCATACAACGTGTTCTGTATAATGTGATCTCTTGTGTAGGGGTTTTTTTTGGGGGGGGGGGGAAGCTGCTTCTTCTCCAACCATCTATTCTTGGCTGCTTTGTGCTCCTGCCTCCTGCTGTAGAAAAAGTGATTTTTTGTGCCCAAGCCATTACGTGGCTTCTTTGATTTTGCTTGCTATTTTTTATGTAGCTTGTGCCGTCGCTTAAATGCAGGGGTAGGCAACCGTGGCTCTTTTATGACTGGTGGACTTCAACTCCCAGAATTCCTGAGCCAGCATGGCTCAGCTTGGAAACCTCTCCCTTTCCCGTCAGCGTGGCTGGCTCAGGAATTCTGGGAGTTGAAGTCCAGGAGTCATGAAAGAGCCAAGGTTGCCTACCCCTGCTCTAAACTAATAAAGTCTACATTAATTAACATTAATTATGCTTTCATATTTTCCTCTAGGTCAGGGGTGGGCAACCGTGGCTCTTTTATGACTTGTGAACTTCAACTCCCAGAATTCCTGAGCCAGCCTGGCTCAGCTTGGAAACCTCTCCCTGTCCCCTCAGCGTGGCTGGCTCAGGAATTCTGGGAGTTGAAGTCCACCAGTCACAAAAGAGCCAAGGTTGCCTACCCCTGGCTTAGAGTGATATCGGAACCTAATCACTATGACAGGGGTCTTCAAACTTG